ATGCACCAGTACAGGCTGGGGGGGTTGACCTGCTGGAAAGTAGCTCTGCCGAGAAGGACCCGGGAGTGCTGGTGGACAACAAGCTAAACATGAGCCAGCAGTGTGCCCTTGTGGCCAAGAAGGCCAATGGTCTCCTGGGGTGCATTAGGCAGAGTGTTGCCAGCAGGTGGAGGGAGGTGATCCTGCCCCTCTCCTCAGCCCTGGGGGAGGATCAAGGTCAAGAGGATGAGGCCAGCCTCTTCTCCATGGTGCCCAGCAACAGGACAAGAGGCAACGGTCAGAAACTGAACCACAGGAAGTTCCATCTGAACCTGAGAAAAAACTTCTTCACTGTGAGGGTGACAGAGCATTGGAACAGGTTGCCCAGAGAGGTGGTGGAGTCTCCTTCGCTGGAGATATTCAAAACCCGCCTGGATGTGATCCTGGGCAATATGCTCTAGGTGACCCTGCTTGAGCAGGGAGGTTGGACTAGATGATCTCCAGAAGTCCCTTCCAACCTAAACGATTCTGTGATTCTGTAATAATCTGGGCTTTGAATTGGCAAGCATTTGACATCCCAAAATACCATTCTATATGCTCTTTTGGTTGAATAAACATTCAGTGATATTTAGCAATAATTAAGCTGGATTTTCTTAAATTATGACAGAAACACAGAAGGTAACAAATGCAAAACTTAGCTTTTTGCAACATTGACATATGTCAGTATATTGGTTTGTTACAAATAACTTGATGGTTTTCCAGTGCACAATTTAAGTAAAACCTCAACAGTATGGAAATCCTTCTTGCTCAGCATTGGGTACAGTAAGTGCCACCAAGAACTGTCCCCTTGTTTTACATATTCTTAAAATTTTGAGTAGACCTGCCCAGCTGGATTGCTGTGTTTCAATTCCATCAAACTGGACCGTTGTGCCTTTGGGTTCACTCGCTCAATACGCAACTGCACTGAATATTTCCATGGTCCCATTGCCTGCTTTCCAGGTGTCCAATATGTCCACTAACCTTGGAGATCAAAGCTCAGATACCAGCAGCTCCCAGTCCTCTCACATTTTTCAGTGAAATATGGCCTTTTCCAAGCTCTTCAGTAAAGTCAGAGCAAACGTGCATAGACTGGGAAAAATACGAGCATGTTTTGATGACTCTCCATTGTTTTAAGGATTGGGCAATACATAACAAAGCACTAACAGCATATTTTTGACTTCACATTCACTGAGACGTTCAGTGATTTATCAGTTTCATAACCTCACCCACAATTCATATTATGTACTACCAAGATCCCTGAGCAGTATTCAGTTTTTCAACTTTCATCCTCATAGCCAGGCTTCACACCATCCCACGTTTTAAACTTGAGTTTCAGATTGTAACAGAGAAAGCTTGTAGCCCTGCTACCTGCACCTTGAGAGGCCTACAGAACAGACAACGAGTGCTGGATCCAGTTCAGTATTGCCCTTGCAGAGCTATGAGGACATATTAGCCACAAGAATCATCTTAGGACACTGACATTACACATCTCTGGAACTGAATAGATTTGTAAGCAGCTTAATCCTACAGCTCCTTTTTAAAAGTGCATCTGTTTTAAGCACAATCAACAATAGGCATCTTATATACAGTGGTATTGGATATGTGGACTTCATTTGGGGAGCATTCTCAGCTTTAACCCACCCTTTGCCTCATGTCATTAGAGAGTATGGCTTATGTATTGATCTAAAGGCTTCAATAGTTATCAAACGTTTCAGTTTATTTAGAGCACAGTCTACCATTACCAGCAAACTAATATTTCTTCATTAGTGTGCAGGCTGTACTTTGTCTGCTTGAACTTCTCACTACTAGCCTGTGAATATTAAGTGAAGCTAATATTCTGGTCAGTAGAAATTAAAAGTGAAAAACTCTTCCATTTTCTAAGATCTTAGAAAACTCAAAACCCAGAAATTAAAGACAGGACAAAATCCAGTCTGTTACATGAACTCTATTGTCTACATTTTCTATTCTTTAATGCAACTGTCGATTATTATAGTTCATAAAGATACATTTATATATGTATATACACATACATGACCTCTGACTTCCCATGAGTGTGGTTTTGCTACAAGCAAAGGTAGAAATTTAAAGAGAATGACAAGAATAGTTTGAATATCCATTAAAAAGGGTTTTAAGCATTTTGCTTTATTATTGCTCTTCTGAGTACCAAGATAAACACACACTATTTTAATTTGTGCACTATGGTTTGCTCAGGCAGAAATTGACATAGCTACAACTGAAAACTTTAATTTGGCAACATTTCAGTCATGACAGTTACACATTATGTAAAATTACTCAGTGGTATGTTTGATATTAAATATCAGTAAAGAATATTAGTTTAAAAAGTAGAGCTACATCACTGTCTCTAAAAATATTGCTGCAGTAGGACTATTCGCATGGGTTCTGAATAACGATCAGGAGATACTCCTTATCTGCAAGATATAAAAAGTTCTAGTTAAAATATTTTATTTACTTTCCTGAAAAATATTCTTATCTATTCTTCTCCAATCACAATTGTGTCTGTTTATAAAATATAAAGTAAATAAACAATAGTGTTTATAAAAACTTGTTTAAAAATTTAAGCACTACTTTTACAAAGATCTGAAATTTCAGATGAAAATATACATCAAAGTTAAACTATACCATCCTAAAGCTATTTTAGTAAGCAGCAAACTTGCTTTCAGGTAGCTGCAAAAATACTTAAACAAGCAAGTAAAAAGTGAAGCCACAAGATAAGCACTTGTAACAGTAATAAACTTTTGATAGCTGCAGCCACTTCTGCAGGTGCAGAGATTTCTTTCAGTTCACTGCCTAGTTTATTCAAAGGGGAAATCCCATTTGGGGATGAAAACAGCAGGAAAGATTGGAATAGGCCTTTACTATGATCAATTCTAAGCATGGAAGATTTCACCTACTAATTCTAAAAGCTTGGGGAACAGTTTTGGACACAATTCAGTTGTATAGCTATTTAATACTATTTTAAATGAAAGATTTCTTTAAAGCATCCAAAGAATTTAGGTATATATCTGCTTTAAGTCAGGTTGCCTCCACTGCTGCTTCTCACTTTCACCCGAAAGTTAGTATAAATCACAGGATAAAAATTCATTTGCCACCTTTTATTATTGCAGAAGGCAGTCAAGCCTTTGAACAACTCATCCCCCTATTAGCAAAAAAGCATCACATTCTACACCATTTATTTGAAGGTCAACATGCTTTAATGGTTATTAGTGAAAGAGGGTCATCCTCTCTAAACAATAACTGAAGGGCAAAGGTAAAATAAGTGCAGTGTAAATCAATGAGCAAGAAACCTTATTTAAAAGATATATCCTATTTATACTCTAAGATACATATTCAACTAAAATTTTAGTCTTACTATTAGCTGATTTTACCCATACTGTTTTTATACCAGCATTATAAATAATTTCAGTGAGGTGAGGTAATGTGTATGTAGTGCACTACCCGTCCTTTAAGTTTGCCTGTAAATCAGCCTCAGAGGACTACCTCAGTGAAGGGGAGCTACTGATGGTGCCCATCACTGCAGTAGGTTCAGCACCAGCTTCCTCCACAGTGGCTATGCTGGGGATACCCCTGAGGCTTTGTTTGTCCCGCACACCTTCATCTGGTATTTGTCAAAATCCTGAATACCTTTGCCCTCTTTTAGCTGGTGCACACATCAGGATCTCAGCCCCATCTAATCACTTCCATTTTGCCTGATTTACCTTGTACTATTTATTCCTTGACCACAGCTTATCTGGCCTTGTTATCTATTTTAGAGAAACAGCTATAACAAATCTAACACATTTAACATGAGTGAAAAAGGCTGCTATATTCTCCTGGTTGTTTTAAGGAAAATTGTATCACAGTCACTATGTTGGTGATAATGCTGCATATTGATCATGACACATCCCACCTATGGCTACATGTCACAATACAGTCACAGTATCAGATGAAAACCAATTTTTAGAAACAAAAGCTGTCTCATGCATCTTCTCAGAGCTAAAAATTGATTTGCTGCCTTTAAAATCATACATAATATTTGGTACTTATACTTTTGTCCAGTTTTCCATTGGGTGAAAAAGGCACAGAAACCAGAGCGTTAATCACATCTGGACTTGTTTTGTTTTGCTTCTAAACTTTACATTAAGATGCTAACATCTGTTTACATAGTGAACAATACAGATATACCTCTGTTCAAAAAGGATCTACATAAGTATAAAATTCTTTCTTACAGTTTTATTTTTATGCATTCATTTCTAATATGCATTTTCTACAGCAGCCTTGCTTAGAAAAAATTATAAGAAGCTTCAAGAACATACAATTCTATGATTATTTAATAGGAAATATTACCTGGAGCTACCATGATTTCATGTTTCTTTGATCTGATCCTAAGAAAGGTTAGATCATTCTGAGGATCAATATCTCTCACTGTGCTCCTAGCTTTCATGGTGAGCTGATGAAGAAGACCTGCATACTGGACTGTTGTAGAGTTATCAAGAGTTGTTCTGATTGGAATTCCTGCAAACAAATAATATTCTAACTCACAACTCAGTTAAACTGCATATTATCCATATACAACAGATCATAAAGACCAAAGATTCCATCTTTTTCATAGCAGAAAGGATTTATATTGATTTCAAGTATCTTTTAAGGTATGATTGTTTATTAATCAGTGGCAATTAAGCATTGAGTTGCCCTATAAAACTTCTGAAAGAGCCTAATTGCTGCTTCAGCTTCAGGCTCTTACATATCTATGAAACTGTTCTATAGTACTTTATCAGTTTCGGTGCTTCAAGCAGTGTAAACGTTGCCACTGAATTTGTATCTTGGCTGCAAGAATCTAAACCACACTTCAACCAACTGCAGCGTCTGGCGTGTGCAGTGATAGAAATTACATATTCCCAGCGAAATACCAAGAGCAATCAAAGGGTAGAAGTGGCATGCTTGCACGTGGCAAGCAAACCACCCTTGGAATTAGGATGCAAAACACTGACAATCGGTAGACCATATCATATTGATCCAAACTATTAAAAATATGACCACATAAATCAAGATTAATTTTTGATAATTTAATGATTCATTGTTTAGCAAAGATTTGCCAAATCATGCTTTTGATATCAGTAGGCTACCAGGTGGAACTAAATATAGTGGTCACAGTAATCATGTAAGTGTAAAATTGTTTGGCTTTAATAAGCTTATTTGACTTAAAAAAAAAAAAATCCCTGTAATCTACTAACAAATAGATTAAAAGTTGGCAAGACAATATTCTCTTTATATACATTTATACTGCATCTTCCAGACGGACAGGAATATAAAAATAGTTCCAATTAATAACAAGTTGAAGAGCTTGATTTATGAAAATTAACATGCAAAAATACTGAACGTCAGTTAAACAATGGGAGGCAAAAATAAAAGAAACAATAGAACTACATCAGATTTAGGTTATTCCACAATCTTTCCAGGAGAGAATTATTTGAATCACTTGAAATCAGTGTTAACACGTGAGAAATAATCCTGTGTTGGTAGAGAAGTGTAACAGGATGACCCAGTACATACTTTTTCTGTCTACTGTTTATTACACAGATTGAAACTGAGGATTTAAGGAAAAAAACAGGTGTTCCCAAGCACATTAGCACAGAAAATCTTTATAACCACAACATTAAAATGGTAAGTCACTTAAAGTTGGCATGGTTTCATTGCTGCTTTTATATGACCTTTTATCTAAATGATTACTTCAGCAAACATAGAACTTTTAATGAAGTATGTCATCCTCCATGGTCTAATAATAACCTGAAAATATGTTGACACTAGTGATATCCTTAGATAAAGAGCAAGTTATGCTTCCTTTAGGACAAATTCTCCTTGTGCCTTCTTCCCAAACCCCCCCCCCCCCCCCCAAATTAGAGAAAGGCAAATAAACCCTTCCTTAGCAGTGCTGTAGTGTGATCTTTCACAACTGTGAAGGACATCACCGGTTCAGGAGATCTCCAGCTTGAACAACATACATTTAACATGCAGTGTTATAATGAATAAATTAACTTTGAGTATTCTGTTTAAAATAAGTGACTGGCAACGCTTGTACTATTTTGTCTGTATACAGTATTATCTATGCTAGTAAAAAAATGACCGTTTATTTTACCGAAGAACAGAGGGTTTGTTCTTTCTACAGAACCTGGAGAGAGCCTGGAAAAATTTACTGTTGCACTATCAGTTCAAGTTACTTTACTGTGGCTCATTCAAGTTGCGCATTTATTTTAAATGCTTCAGGATAGAGAGAAATCAATTTTTTTTTAAAATTTGTATAGAAGGATTTGAAATAATTAGATGGGCCAGTTTTTAAGCGTGGACATTTGAAGATGTTACAGAACTATGCAACGACGCAGCAGCTTCAAGATTTAGTCTGTGCAGTCTAAACGTCTTTGTACCTTGAATACTTTCTCACATAGGAACATCTGTTGTGCTCACATCTGGCATTGGGAATTGTTACATTTCCAATTAAAAATTAAACTCAAAATTCCTTCGCTGCTTTTCCAGTCAGTTTCAGTTTGGCCACATGTTCTGCAGGTGTGCGAGGAAGCAGAAGTTTGAACAGGATATGACTTTTTGCCTTGCTGTGAGTAGTCTAACGCGCAGGAAAGGAACAAACAGGAGCGTACTACCTCCTTCGTGCAAGGAAAGTGAGACAGAATCCTTAACAAAGCCTTCTTAAGGACTGTGCTATTACCATGAAGACATTGCAGAGCTACATGTGAGCTTTCCTTCCACACACAGTAGAAATATCATAGGTAAAGACGGGGCTACATTAGCATACCTGAGCAGGAAAGCGTACTTGACCAGTATCACAGCAAAAAGCAAAGTGTAATGCTCTCAGAAACTGAACGCAAGAAAATGCAGTTATTTTTCTACTGCTTGTTTTAGTGGTTTTTAATTATTTTAGAAGAAACGTATCAGTCCGCAAACTCAGCAAGGGCTATTTGTGTTACCTGAATGGTTGGTTTTGTTCAGTTTTAGTCTGCAACTTCAGTCTATAAATGCTCATTGGATCAAGTCACATTCTGTTGACTTAAACAGAACACAGGAACTGCTAAAAACAATAGTTGTTCTAAAACCAAACTGTATTTCAGCTTAGAAAACAGTCATACATAGAAATGAGCACGTGCAGGCACAAAGCAGGTTTTCATTTACTGTTTGTCAGGCTACGCACTTCTCTTGACCTGCAACATCTATTCTATGGACAAAGACATGTTTTATTTAACATGTCCAGGTATGCAAATCAAGATGTCTAGATCTTCCAAAGACTAAAAAACACTTAGGCTTCCTTCTTAAGTGTTCTTTACTCCTGTTGCTGAACTCCTACCAGGGAAACAGACATATATATATATATATATTTTTTTTTTTTTGGTTTTTTTTTGATTGTAAAAGTGAAGGAGATGAACTAAATTTTAATACAGGCAAGGTAAACTGTGGAGTGAGTTGTCTTACCTTATTTGCAATGGAACGATTAAAACATTAAATTTAGAAGCTTAGCTTCTCAGACCTGACATAGGTGACCAGTTCCACGTTTGGCTTGCAGTCTTCAAGGTCAGGTCACAGCCAAAGATGGCCTGACACGAAACTCGCTCTGCAGACGCTACGACAACGCACCGCGACACTGTTTAACCAGCTTCTGAGCTTAGCACAGCCACGGAGCTGCTCCTACAGGAGACCTGCTTTTAGTAAAAGCCTTTCTCCTGATGTTTTTGTTACCTTCCCTGACTTTTCAGAGGAAAAAAGGGAAAGGGAAGCGCTAGTGAGTTTTCTTGCATATATGAAGAACGCGGGACCGAAAAGTAACTGTAAAAGCAGCAGGTTAGCGCCACGCGCGCTCTCCCTTTCTGCAACCTACCAGGAGGTGCTCAAGATCTGGTTCTGAAAAACAGAGCGTAGTTTAGTTAAATAAGTGGAATAAGTAACAACGCATCGCGAGCCCTTAAATTTACTGAAAGTTACCACACTTTATTTCTTCGGAGAAGACTTACACCAAAGCGCTTGAGTTTTCTGCTTCCCATTAGCTTCAATTAAAAAGAACACCCGGGAGAACCCACGTTTTCTTGGGAGCCACCGCCCGGGCCTCTGACACACCCGGCGGCG